CCAAGTGCTGCTTGACTTCTTCACTGCAAAGACCTTCAGACAGCTGTAACACTGGGCTATAAGCTGAGCTGTCCCGTTTGCTGTAACAGTGTGGCTTTGCTACAAGCATCAGATTAGTTTTTTTTTTTTTAATTAAGTTGATCAGCACATTTTAGGTATAAATTATGATCACTTTCATTATTGGGAATTTGTACTTGTACATGGTATATCTTGGTTCTTAATTTTTCTCCCATTCCCCTTCCCTCCTTTCAACTCCTCTACCCGTCCACGACTCCTTATTTACAAAACTTTTGTTTCTATTTTTTCCTTCTTTTCTCATTTTTTCTTTCTCTTCTTTTCTTTGCCCCTCCCATGCCTATCAACTGGTGATTGGATAAAGAAGATACGGGGTTTTTTCCTAAAATGGAATACTATTCAGCCATAAAGATAAACTAGAGTCATTTATAGCTAAATGTACCTTGAGATTCTACTCTTAACTAAGTAGGGACACACATGTGTAAATGCTGAATTGTTTCTTTGGTGTGAGAAACTGAAAGCATAAATGAGGACTACAATGTATAATATTATGAAATAGGAAGATGTTGTTCAGAGAGGAAGCAGATCAGTTTTTAAAGACACTGAGGCCTATGAGCAGCATCATATCAGAAGCTGCTTTTCTCCCCATTTAGACCAGAACAAGTGTATCCTGCCATCATTCCAATGGGTAATGGTGATGGGAAGTGGGTAGTCAGTGTAAAAGCAGTATTCTTACCTTCTATACATCTTAGTTCTTAAAAGACTTTTGTTTTATTCCACTGTTGACTGGTGTGGCATTTTCTTTCTCCAGGAGCACCGGATTTGTCTTCTTTTACTTTCTTCATTGCATTGGCCATATGTTAACATAAAAATGGTGCTACAGACACCTTATCTTGGCCTAAGCTTATTTCAACATTAATGACAACTTTTCTGTGTAGATATACTTCATTAGATTTGAATTTGTTCTTAGTTTCTTGAAAATTTTAATTAAGAATCAGTGTTGAATTTTGTCAAATGGATATTCTGTATCTATTGAGAGGATTATTTTCTTCCATTCTGTTTAGTGGAGAATTAAATGTACACACATAAATGTATAAACGACAAATTTACTGTCTCACAATTTCTGCAGGCCAAAAGTCTAAAATTAAGGTATTGTTAGGGCCATGTTCCTTTTGAAGTTACTAAAGAATTTGTTCTAGATTTCTCTTCCAGCTTCTAGTATTTCTTGGCTTGTGGAAGCATAACTCCAACCTCCACATGGCATTCTCCTTGTGTGCATGTCTGTGTCCAAATTTTCCCCTTATCTATTTATATGCCTATCTCTCTTGATCGATCTAGTCATTTACTTACTTATTTTTTGAGACAGTGTTTTGGTATGTGTTTAAGGCTGGCCTTGAAGTCATTATGTAGCCCAGGTTGTCTTTCAACTCATGGTGATCCTCCTGCCGCAGCCTCACCAGCCTCCATCCTGCTCAGCTAAGCTTTTCCCTTTTTAAAAGAATGCCAGCTGGGTGCAATTGCAAATGCTTGTAATCCCAGCATTTGGGAAGGTGAGGCAGGAGGATTATGAGTTCAAGCCAGTGTGGGCTTCATAGTGGGTTTGAGGCCAACCTGGGTGAGTGAGACCCTATCAAAAAAACAAACCAGGGCTGGGGATTTAGCTCAGTGGCTCCGTGCCTGCCTTGCAAGTACAAGGTCCTGAGTTCGATACCCGGTACCAGAAATAAAAAACAAAAAACAACCCCCCCCCACATACCAGTCATATTAGATTAGGGCCCACCCTAATACCTTTATTTTAACTTAATTACATCTGTTGTGATGAGGTCACATTATGAGGTACTGGAATTTAGAACTTATTTTGGGGGTTGAGTATTTGCATGATTCAATCAGTAATCTGGAATGAAACATTTGTTTAGATTAGGCAAACAGAATTCATCAGTTGGTTAGTTACCTTGGTGGGCATGAAATAAATCTCAAATGCTTCATGACTTGCTCATGATCAATATTGCTTTATTTCTGGACATGCGCAAGTAACACTGCATTTAAAAAAATTCATTTCGATTGATTATAATGTGTTAACTTTTAAATCAACACATTGCTAACTAACTCACATGAAAGATACCACAGTGTACTTATTCAATAGAATAATGGAATTATGAGGCATCAAAATATGAGATGCAACTCAAGAAGCTCTTAGAAATTTATAGCATTTTGTTCATGTATTACAAAAGAGGAAAGATTCAAAACTAATGATTAAACTTGAACCTCAAGGAAAAATATGGTAAATTAAACCCATTTAAGAAAGTGAGAGAAAAAAATAATAAATATTAGCAGAGAAACCAGTGAAACTGGAAAGTAGATGTAAAACAGAAATAGCAGCCAAGATAAAAATACATTCTTTTTTTTTGAGGCAGGATCTTACTCGGTAATTCAAGTTGGCCCTCAACTCACTATGTAATGTTATGCCAAGCGAGCCAGGAAAACACCAAACACAGGGACAAAGAGTTAAAACTAAAAGGAGTTTATTCACGCTTGTGGACTCCACTCTTTAGGACAAGTGAAGCCCGGAAGCAGGGGACAGTACAGGTTTATAGGTAACTCAAACAAAGAAGTTCAGGGAGAGGCCACTGTGTCCTTCAGCCAGCTGTGAAATATCTTTCACAACGCAGTTCTTTTTCATCCCACCTATCTTACCAAGATAGGGGCTTCTGTGGCTACAGGGTTCGGTGGTTACAGGGAGGCACCGTCTGTTCCCGGGGAGCGATAAAGCATGTTTACATAAGCAGAGCAAGCGACTATCTTGTGGGGAATTCCAACACTCTATAAGGGGAGGGGTATGGGGGGAGTTCATTTCTTAGGTTCACTTTGGTCTCACATGTAACGCGCTGGCTGGTCTCGAACTCGTGGCAATCCTCCTTCATCACCCTCCTGAGTGCTGGGATTACAGGCATGTGCCACTATGCCTGGCAAAAGTTCATTCTTTGAAAAATAGAATTGTCGAGGTATCTAGCAAAATTTACCAAGAGAACACATTATATGTTATATATATGTATATAATAGATGCATTTATTTTTTAACCTTTTTGTTTTGTTTGTTTTTTTGAGACACAATCTTGCTGTAAAGTTCAGGCTGGCTTTGAACTACTAGGTAGCCTAGGCTGACCTTGAACTCCTGAGTCCTCCTGCTTCAGCCTCCCGAGTGCTGGAATTACAGGCATGCACTTAGCAGCCATCGCTATTTCATCCCAAACCCTCCAACATTAAATAATCACTAATTTACTTTCTATTTCTATAGATTAACCTATTCTGGACATTATCGTACAAATGATATCATTCTGTGTGTGGTCTTTTATGACTAGCTTCTTTCCTCCCAAGGTTCATTTATGTTATATATCACTACTCTATTCCTTTTTATGGCTGAATAAGAGTCTAGTGTATGGATATACCACATTTTATTAGTCTGTTTATTGGTTACTGGATGTTTGTATTGTTTTCAATTTTGGCTATTATGAGTAATGTTATTGTGAGTGTTTGTGGTCATGTTTTTTGTTTGTTTTTTGCTGTGGTACCAGGGATCAAACTTGGGACCTTTCGCTTGCAAGGGAGGCGGCGGAACCACTGAGCTAATCCCTGGCCCTGGACATGTTTTTATATGCACATATTTTGTTTTGTTTTGTTTTGTTTTGTTTTGTTTTGTTTTGAGTGGATTTCCAGAAGTGGAATTGCTGAGTCATATGGCAACTCTGTTTAATATATTGAGGAACTGCCTGTTTTCCAAAGCAACTTGCACCATTTTACAGAACACCAGCATGGTATGAAGATCCAATTGCTCTACATCCTTGGTGGCACTTACTTTTCACTTTGATTATATCTGTAATGTTAAATGTGAAGTGTTTTCTCATTGTGGTTTTAGTTTTCATTTTCCTAATGTTATGATACTGAGCATGCTTTCATGTTGCCTTTTCTGTAGAAATGTCTACTCCAGTCCTTTACTTCGTTTTAAATTGGATTATGTACTTGAGTTTTTAAGAATGATTGTGTTGTAAGCTTATTTTCTATGTGTATGTATATATAAACAGTTTTCATATATATTTTATGTATTCTAAATACAAGTCTCTTATCAGATATGTAATATGCAAATATTTTCTCCCACTGTGTGAGTTGTCTTCATTTTTTTTAAAAAAAATAAATTTATGTGTGCGTGTGTGTGTGTGTGTGTGTGTGTTTGTATGAGAGAGAGAGAGAGAGTGTGTTTCTGCAGCTTGAACCCAGGGCCTTGCACATGGTACGCAAGCACTCCAGGGCTGAGCTACCTTCGCAGGCCTTTATTCATGTATTTTGAGAGAGCATCTCCCTGAATCACCCAGGTTGGCCTTCAACTTGCCATCCTTGCTCTCAGGCTGGTTTAAAAAATTGACAAGTAATGTTTTCATTCTTTTGATGGTAATCTCTTATTAAAGCTGTGTTAATATACTAGGTCTGGTTATAAATATAATCCTCACTTGCATGTACCTTGATTCTTCTTTTGTGCCTCTTTTCTAGGTCCTTACTGTTTTTATTTTTGTTTTGTTTGTTTGTTTGTTTGTTTTTGGTACCAGGGATTGAACCTGGGACCTTGCACTTGCGAGGCAGGTGGCGGAACCACTGAGCTAAATCCCTGGCCCCACTGTTTTGATTCTTACATTTTAATTTTTCTTTCTTTTTTTCATTTACTCCTTTATGCTCTTCTTTTACTCTGGACTGAATCCTCTGAGAATGAAAACTGGTCATTTTTGCCTGGATTTTCATAGTAATTGTTTTTCTAATATGGATTATTCCCATTATTGTGTTCATATTATATAAATAATTAAATACACAAGAATTATTCAGTTCTTTTATGTCATTGTTTCAAATTGACATGATGTGCACTATGTGCTTCTCTTGTAAGAGCAAGTCTGTAATTAGGTGACTCCTATTTTAATTATTAAACTTTCTCTCTTTTGAAAGATTCAATATGGATAGTGTAGAAGAACCTCAGAAAAAAGTCTTTAAGGCTCGAAAAACAATGAGAGTGAGTGATCGGCAACAGCTTGAAGCCGTATACAAAGTCAAAGAAGAACTATTGAAAACTGATGTCAAGATTTTAAATGGCAGCCATGAAAATGGAGATTTGGACCCCACCTCACCTTTGGAAAATATAGATTATATTAAAGATAAGGAAATAAATGGTATTGAAGATACTTGTTTTGGTTCTGAAGAATGTAAAACGGAATGGAAAGAAAAGCCCTGTATCCTAAATGTTAGTGTAAAAAACAAGCAAGATGATGATTTAAATGAACCTTTGTCTCCTAATAAAATAATTTCTGAACCAGCCTTTAAACTGACCACTGAGCCAGCTTCTGGTGATCCAGCCTCTGGTGAGCTGACCACTGGAGATTCAGCCTCTGGTGACTCTACTTCTAGTGATCTCACCTCTGGAGATGCATCCTCTGGTGATCCTGCCTCTGGAGAATGTACCTCTGGTGATCCTGCCACTGGTGATTCTGCCCCTGTTGAACTGGTTTCTAGTGAACCTGTTTCTGAGGAACAAGTTCCTAGTGAAAGAGCTGATGAACCCTCTTCTGGTGATTGTGGCTCTGATAATCTATCCTCTGCTGATCCAGCTTCCGGCGATCCACCCTCTGATGATCCGGCCTGTAGTGAATTGGCCTCTGATGATCTGGCCTCTGGTGATCTGGCCTCTGGTGATCTGGCCTCTGATGATCTGGTCTCTGGTGGTCTGGCCTCTGGTGATCTGGCCTCTGATGATCTGGCCTCTGGTGAACTGACTTCTGAATCAGCCTTTGAGCCCACTTTTGAACCAAGTTCTGTACCAGTTTGTGAACCAGTTCTTGAAACTGACCGTACAGAACAAAGTAGCAATAAGGATAACGATTTTCTTGAAAAAAATGAGGATGATGAACATTCAGGGCAAATTGAGAATAAGGACACATTTGATGAGAAAAAGAAAGCTGATAGTAACATTGACAGCAATGAAGAAAGTCTAGAAACAGATGATACAATGATTTGTTCAGGTCTACCTCCTGAAAATGAAAAGAAGGGAGAAGATCCTATCACAGAGCTTGCTCTTGGAGAAGAGGCTATATCTAGCAGTATGGAAATAGACCAAGGTGAAAAGAATGAAGATGAAAATTCTTCAGACCTTGTGGAAACCATTAGTGAAAATGTTATACAAAGTGACAAAAATGAGACTGTCTTAGAAAATACAGATTCTATGGAGACAGATGAAATTATTCCTATTTTGGAAAAACTTGCACCTGCTGAGGATGAACTTACTTGCTTTTCTAAAACTTCTCTCCTTCCAATTGATGAGACCAGTCCAGATTTGGAAGAGAAAATGGAAGTTTCTTTTGGTTCACCATCTAAACAAGAAAGTAGCGAGAGTTTACCTAAAGAAGCCTTTTTGGTCCTTTCTGATGAAGAGGATATTTCTTGTGAAAAAGATGAGTCTGAAGTTATATCACAAAATGAGACATGCTCTCCAGGTTAGTAGGTTACTTAAATTTTAAAGAATTTTTTTTTATCAGCTTTAATGAACTGTTTGATAAATGTGTTCTGAAAAAATTTTAGGGTTTTTTGGGGGGTGGGGGTTAAGTTGCAGAAGGAATTGAGAATGTTGTGACTCTGTAGAAGGATGTCTTAACTGCGTTGATTCTTTTGAGGCAGGCGGTGGAACCACTGAGCTAAATCCCTGGCCCAACTGCGTTGATTCTTAATAGGTAGAATTCAGAGTTATAAAATAACCTCTCCTTGAGCAACATTTTGCTAAGTGCTAAGGGAGATAAGTAGAAAATACAGCCCTTGTGCATTAAGGGCTTTTAGTCTAGAAAAGATGAACTTGTATAACACTGTGATAATTTAAATCAATACATAATTGTTTGAAATTCCAGCAATATTTCTTTCTTGCCATTATGCAACAAAATTATCTTTCCAATAATCTTTACAATCAAATCTCATTTAAAAAATTTTGAGGGCCCTCTGGGGAGTGACACTACCATTGTTGGAAGCCAGAAATGTTGAACCCTGATTATCTATTCAGTAAAAGCTTTACCTATTTGTTTCTTCAGTCCTCTTGATTCTATCCAATCTACTGTCTTGCTCTCATCTCTTGGATGACCTCCGTCTTTTTCATGAGGTTCCTGTCACTTTTAGGTTAATTCTGAACTCCTTATATAAATATAAACAACATGATTTGATCAGCACCTTCCTCTCCCATCTCTTACATTGTTTTCTAGAGAAAAAGGAGAATGATATTCTAACTGCTTTCTTGGTCAAACCAAAGCATAATTACTGACACTTTCTTAGGTCCCCTTCAGATTAGCATGGATACCTTTCTACTCTTTATGACATGTTATTAGACTTAAAATCAGTAAGGAGGAGGGAATTGCTCCTATAAACAGAACGTCAACTACAAAACCTAGGTTGTTGAAAGTGAAAATAAAGAGGCAGGCCTAGTAGAAAAGGGGAAAAAAAATTTTCCCCCCAATATATCGTACTAGATTTTAGAGCTAAAGCTTTTTTTTCTTACTAAAAGATGGCTCTTCATTTCTAAAGAACATTGAGAGATAGACCAAGCCCTTTTTCGTTCTAGGGATTCGATGCAGGCAAAAATTAAATCAGTCTTTTTTTTTTTTGAGACAGTCTCATTATGTAGGTCAATTGGACTTGAACTCACCTTGAACTCATGGCAATCCTCCTGTCTCAGCCTCCTGTGTGCTGGGATTACAAGGGTGTGCCATGACACCCAGCTAAATCACAGACTTAAATAAAAGGCCATGAATACAGTAGGAGTGGTATTCGTGTTCTGGAAGTATAGAGAAAGATAACTATGAGAGCACAAGGTATATTCAGGGAAGCCTTTTTCAATATTTATATATCAGGGTTTTAATGAGTTTTATTCCTTGTATTGGCGGTGCCATCTCACCTAGTCAGATCACTCACCTAGTCAGATCAGAAACCTTGGAACAATATTTTCTATTAAGATCTTGAAGGAAATCTCATTGGCACTACCTTCAGAATAGATGTAGAATCCAATTCATAATTGCTGTTACCCCTGGTCTGAGATGCTATTATCAAGCTAAAGTGGTGACTGATTCACAGAAAGTGCTCAGTAAATATTTGTAGAGTAAATGCATAATTGATACTGTAAGAGAAGCATATCATATCATGAAGGACTATTGTTAACAGTATTGAAGTTTTATGAGGGAAGTAGGGACCTATTGAAGGATTTTAAGTGAGAAGAAAGATAGGAAATTTGTATTGTGGGAAGATAATAGGGAACAGTATTCAAGATGAACTTTACTCATTTATCCAGTAGGTATTTATACAGAATGTAGCAGTGGGGCAGGTCCTTAAAAAAAAGCATTATAAGTAAAAAAAAAAAATTGTATCACAGCAAATTGCAGCTTGTGATTTAATGAATTTATGCATTTTATCTTTGTCAGAATTTTTTTTGTCAGAATTTTGTTAGTAGAGCAAATTGCTGTATATCTTGTGGTTTCTTATTTAATATTATTTGTAAAAGATGACAAAACATTTTGTGCTTAATTGAAGCCGCCAAGGAGCCAGCTATTTTGGGCCAAAAATAGAAGTCTAAACCTTTAAGTGATTTGTTGTAGTCCTGTTATCCATCATGTAATGATTTAGTTAGGAGCTGGGTTAATTGACCAAAAGGCCATTTCTGATACCTCTGTGATTTTATTTTTTGTAATATAAACCCATGATTTTTTTTTAAGCAATATTTTTGGTAGCACTCTTTTTTTCATGTTTTATATGCCACTTATGAAAATTGCTTAACTTTCCTGAACATTATTTTTTTCATCTATATGATAGCAAAAATACAGTATAGGATTACCGTCATACTGAAGCTGTGTGGTAATATATGTCAAACACCAAACTCAGTTGTTGACACTGTTATCAAAATAGGTGTTATTTTTAAGTAAAGCGGTTATTATATTTAGGATAAGCTCTCCATTTCTCATGAGCTATCCTATAACTATTAAAATAACTTCATTTCACCTTCTAGACAAAATACTAGTTTTGAATTTAGCAGTAGTTTGTAATATTTTAGTAGTTGTCACAGCTACTTACTTTAGTTTTAATAATTGAATGTAAAGGAACCTGTGCTTTATAATACTGTTTTTGCACTTTACTTATTTATTTTTTTCCCCCATTAAGTTTATTGGTACATTTTAGGTATAAAATAGTTACATTCATCATTGGGATCTTGTACCATTACATGAGTATCTTGGTTCTTATATTTTTCCCCTTCCCCTGCCCTCCCTTCACCCCTTCACCCTTCCCTATTTGCAAAGACTTTGTTTCCATTTTCTTCCTTTTCTCATATTTTTTCTTTTCCCTTCTTTCCTATCCCCTACCCCTCCCACTTCCCCTGCTCCTTTAGATCTTTACTTCCTGTTACACAATATCAATTATACATTTTTTAAATTATAATCTTACGGTCTAGGAGACATTACCACAGATTTTACAGAATTTAAAAGGACATAGAAAGCATATTACAAAAATCTGTTTTGAAATAAATTTGACAACTTCTAAGAAGTGCCTTGGAAGACAAATTAATGAAACTAACTCTGGAGGAAATATAAAATTTGAATAGTATCTATTAAAGAAAGTATATTCCTAGCTTGAAAACACGTATATGACAACAACAGGCTCATATATATTTTAACTGATGAATTATATCAAACATTTAAAGCAGAAAAAAGAAGGAACACTTCTCCCCTCATTTTAGGAAATCAACATTGTTTCACATTTTATTAATCTTATTAATGATAGAAAATTACTATGAAGATTGCTTGTTTTAAAATCTGTAATATTACTTTTCAATATTGAGTTTACTATAAATTGCAGAACAGTTGAATGTGGCCTTGGTTCTTTAATTCTATCAGTTGATGCTCTGACATTTTGAGACTCTGGTTTTATTAAAGGTTATTTTGGTAACAGTATTTACCAAACCTGTAAATTAATGAGCTGTTGTGAATTCCAGTAGAAATAAAATTTCTTTTTTTATTTTTATTCCAGCAGAAGTAGAGAGGAATGAAAAGGACACCAAACCTGAAGAAGAGGAGCAAGTGATAGATGAAGAAGACAAAAGACCTTCTGAGAAAAGTATGCATGCACAAGCAAACTTGAAGTAGTTTGAAAAATAATTCATTGTTTCTAGTTTTAAGATCATTGAGTATCGATTTCCACCTATGAGGTGATTGTAAAAATTTGCAGTTTAAGCCACAATTAACTCATTTCCAAAGATAACTGACTCAAGTCCCTTGAATATATTGTATATATTTCAGTGATTTAAAAAATTTTTAAGTATTTTTTGTTGTCTCACAAAAATTGATTTAGGCTTAAAATTTAAGATAGCTGACTTGGGAAGAATTGTTTTAGATTTTTTTAATGAATGGGACTTAGAATTTTGTCTGGGCTGATATACATGAATGATAGTTATGTTTCAGTTACTTAAGGCTCTTCCCAAGAAGAGAAAGGATAGGACTGAGTGTTGTTAGGTTGATAGGAAGATCACTGGATTAGCTGTCCAGAAACCTGAGTTCTGTAATTCTGCCTGTCATCTTGCTCTCCAAGTATGACCGTAGGTAAGTTATTATAAGAGAGTTACAGATTAGAACTGGAATTTAAAAATTAGCCACAAACATATGATTATAGTCATATAAGGGAATTTGCTTTCAAAAGTATGGAGATTTTAGTGCTTGAAGTTTTTATATATTGAATAAAACCAGAAAAAATTTGCTTATGATCCTATGAATGTTAATATTATTTGAAATAGCAGTTTTGTAAGTGAAGATCTTTGAATGTTCACTTTTAACCAGTTGTATTTTTATAATGCCATTAATTACTTTCATATATTTGAAATTTTTTAGGATATGTTAAGAATTGTTACAATATTATTTTCTTTTTTTTTTTGGTACCAGGGATCGAACTCGGGTCCTTGTGCTTGCGCAGCAGGCAGTGAAACCACTGGGCAAATCTCCGGCCCAGTATTGTTATTTTCTTAAGGTTCATGATAAAGAATTTTTCCTATATTTACTGAGGAGGTGTAATTAATTCAGATTATGTGTAGTTGATAGAAATCTGTGACATGAGAATGATTATTGTATTTTGTTGGAAGATTCATTTGCACTATGAAATTTAGCAAAGGCAAAGAATATGAGATGATTTCTACATTCTGTAAGACACATTCTGTAAGTCGTTAGGCAGTCTCCCCTTCCCCCTCCCCTCCCTTCCCCTCCAGATATAGCTCAGTACTTCCTTGGTTTAGTCCTTACTACTGTCAAAAGACAAGAGAGCTCGCCCCCAGCCCACCTTTTTCCTTAAATTTTTAGACAGTGCCTTGCTACATTGGCCAGGCTGGCTTTGAACTTGGGCTCTTCCTGCCTCAGCCTCCTGAGAAATTGGGCTTGTAGATGTGCACCACTGCACCTGACCAATTTTCCATTTTAATATGAAAATTGCAAGGAAAGAATGTTCTGTATTTACAGTGTATGTTGTTTAGCCACTAAAAAGTTCTTATATGGGGCCAGGGATTGGCTCAGTGGTGCCGATGCCTGCACCGCCTGCCTCACAAGCTCAAGGTCCTGAGTTTGATCCCCGGCACCTCCCCAAATGTTCTTATTCAGCATACTGAAAATCATTTCAAATTTAGTACTAAAAGCTATGTACTTCTTTTTCTAGCCCCCAAAACAATAAAATAATTGGTTAAGAATGCTATTATGATAGATAAAACCAATATTTTGCTCAATATGGAGAATAGGGATGAAGGCCTTTAATGAAAACACCTGTCTAGTCATTGTGGTTTTTGTTTTCAGATGAATTTTCTGGAAGAAAACGTTCTAAATCAGAAGACATGGACAATGTACAGTCCAAACGTCGTCGTCGATATCTTGAAGAGGAATATGAGGCAGAATTTCAAGTAAAGATTACAGCCAAAGGAGACATTAACGAGAAGCTTCAAAAGGTGTTGGAAATAAGTTAAAAGCTATATTGAATAAAAAGTAACACTTCTTATTCTTCTAGGTTTTTGACATTAGAGTATCCTATGTTTTACTGACATACCCAGTTTATCACCAAAAGAGAACGTGAAGAAAGTATCTGAGCTTAAAAAAATCTGTAATTATCATTGATAATTAAACTTTAAAATTTCTTGTAATCTGTATTTGACCACATGATTTATTTTGGAGATAGTAATTGATTATCAAAATGGAAGGGAAGCATAATGATACATCTTTACTTTGTTTTGTAACAAAACCGAATCTTTTTTAGCTTTTTATTCTTTTCTTCCCATACTGAACTTTGTTTCATAGTGAAAAGCATCAGGGTTTTATATGTTAATATTTTAATCTTCATAATCTCATTTCATGGTGCAAGTCTACTTGTTCTAAAATCATTGTTATGTATTCATGGTTAGTATTAAAATTGGTAGGAGCAGGGCTTTAGAAGGACTAGCAACAGGGAGTATATTTTGGAAACCTTTTCATATGTCTGTTAGGATAGAGATAGAAATAAGTATTTAGTATCCAGAATGTGCACACACATCTCTATAGCAAGTGCCTTTTGTAGAAAGGCATGTGAAACTAGACTTGTTTTTTCAAGGTCATGTGTGTATATTGGTGAAATTGTATTATGAAGGTTCTTGTTTTGTTTTTTTATGACACTAGGGACTGAACCCAGAAGCTTTCCACTGAGCTATCCTTGGCTCTTTTAAAATTTTTCTATTTTGAGACAGGGTCTGACTAAATTGCTAAGTTTCCCAGGCTGGATTGGAACTTAGGATCCTCCTGCCTCAGCCTCTGAGTGCTGGCATTACAGGCATGTACGACCATGCTTGGACTATCATCAAGGTTCTTCCACCAAGATACAGTACAAATACCTACACTTTCTAGAAATAAGAGTGAAGCAATAAAAAACTGCCCTTAACCCCGCACATTTCCTTTTTTTTGGTATATAGAAATAATATAACTTCTTTAGTTTTAGACTTGTATAGATATATGAAAGAATTTTGAAAACTTTGATGTGCATTGTGAGTTTTCTTCTTTAGATCATTGTTAACCATTGTAATGGTTCTTGGATATATGCCAGTGTCCTTTATGTTGTGGGTCCACAATGAGATTTTGTTCACTTGGAAATTTTTACAGAGTGTGATAATTAGTAACATTCTTAGTGTATTTCCCCAAATTTCAGTCTATAACAGATTAGAAATTTTAAAAGCTGGTTCTTTAACCAGTTTCCTTTAAGTGGTTTGAATGTGATAAAACGGCATGGAAAGAAAACACTAAAACTTGAAATTCTTTTCTAATTTTCACCTTCTGGAAATTTTGTTTTTCATATATATTACCCTCTTGAGGTATATATTATATATACATGGAAGTCGGGAATTTCAGTAGATACTATTGATCTATGAATTTTATTTATTAAATTTGGCATGTTTTATTCATTAAATTAATGCGCTGCTATCAGTATTAGTACTTACTGATTTTTACTTGCTGAATTGCCCTTGCATAACCAAGGAACATGTATTTCTAGGTTATGCATTGGTTGCTGGAAGAAAAATTGTGTGCACTACAGTGTGCTGTCTTCGATAAGACTTTAGCAGAATTGAAAACACGAGTGGAAAAGATTGAATGTAACAAGAGGCATAAGACAGTTCTTACTGAACTACAGGTTTGTATGTTGACTTTGATCATATACCCATGTATCATTTTTACAACTTGTTTTTTTGGTTTTTATTTAAAGTTAATTATACTCATTTAAATTCTAAATACTAAAAGTAAAAGGAGTCTGTGTAGTTTCTTGGGGCTGCTGTAAAAATAGTACCATGAACAGGGTGATTGCATCAAAAGAAACATATTATCTCTTAGTTTCTTAGACTCAAAGTGTTAAGAATAAGGAGTTAGGAAGATTGGTTCTTTTGAGGGCTGATGGTATGAGGAGGAGTCTTTTCCATGCCTCTCTTACAGCTTCTGTTGGTTTGCTGACAGTCTTTGATGTCCCTTGCTGCCCCTTTCTTTGCTTTATGGAAGCATTACCTCAATCTCTTGTATTGTCCTCATGGGGCATTGTCTTTATATGTGAGCTTGTGTTCAAATTTCCCTCTTCTTAAGGACACCATTTGTATTAGGTGAATACCTTGAATAACTTCATCTAAACTAAGTTCTTTGTAATGACCCTGAGGTACTGGTTGCTCTGAGTTCCTTATATGAACTTGTAAGTGACATAGTTCAATAGATAATAAAAATCAAAAATTATCTAACTTGGTGCTTCTTAATTTTTTTTTTTCCATCAATGAAAGCTTGGCATCTAGCATGCCATAATTAGTACTAAATAACATTTTTAAGGGATGCTTTTTCTATTAATCTACTTATTCCATATCATTTAAAATATTGTTACTTTACTAATCCATATTTGTTAATAATTACTGCTTTTCATTTTTATTAAACATAGCTATATATTAATCTATAGTACCAGAGCTTCTGGACAGCCAAAATGAGTACGTATATTCCAGAGCTTAAGAAAGTTTTTATCAGTTTATTCATTCTGTCATAAGTAAATGTAGTTTCCTATTAGGCTGTTGTAAATATGAGCATAGTTTCAAGAATTTTGAGTTGTAAACCACTTGCAGGACCTACTTTTTCCAAAGGAAGGATAAGTGTTTCTTTAATCAGTTTTTCACAATTAAAAAACAAATAGTCAAATCTAAGTAGAATCTACATGTAGTATGTCTTCCAGGCTAAAAGTTATTTTCTCTTTCATACTGTTACTTTTTTTGATGTGAAACTTTTTAGTAATAATGTTTTTGTAGTATAATTTTGTAATTGATCATTTAGGAAAACATTAGTCTTGATTCTCAACTTATGCAGGTCTTTCTGTAGTGATACTGTTATCTAATTATTAAGTTTCATTTTACTAGTACTAATGAAAATTTTGAATTAAAACTGAAGATGAGTGAAGATTGAAGAGAATAATTCATTATTTTTCAGTAGTCTTCTGCCTCTGGCTGTTTGTGTGTGGGCATGCATTTGAGAGTGTTTGAGACAGAAGCTCACTGTATAGTTCAGCCTCTCCTTGACCTGTGCAGCGCACCCATGCTGGCCTTGAACTTGCGGTGATCTTCCTGCCTCAGCCTTCTGAGTGCTGGGATATAAGCATGTGCCACCATGCCCAGCTTACTATTTAGTATTTTTAAAGCCAGAACTTTTGACTCTAGTTTTTAGTTAAGGTCTCATAACATTTAATGTTTATTTGTGCTTAGATGTTTCTTTGTAGCTTCTGACACTGAATCTTTCCAAAGCTAAACCTGTGATCCCCCAAAATAAATAACTCATTGGTCTTATTACGGACAGTTTTTGAGCCTTTGGAAAATTTTAGAAGGAGCATCTTCCCATTGTTCTTGTTGACAGTTCTTGAGTTCCTAGAAACTAATTCCTCTCACTCATTGTACACAAACAGTGAGTTGCCATTTTACAACTTTTTTATTTTCTGAAAGATCTATCTTTTGATTACTCTTTTTCCTGGACTTGGGTCCATCCACCTGTTGCTGGAAAGCCAGTGTTGGAAAGACAAGAGTTGATTGGAAGGAATTAGGTGGGGCTTTTTTGTTTTGATTTGTTTTCTAGATTAATTGATTGATTGATTGATTTATAGACATGGTCTTACTAAGTTGCCTAGGCTGGGCTCAAACTTGAGGTCTTCCTGCCTTAACCTCCCGAGTCCCGGGATTGTAGTGTGCATCACTTTGCCATATTGGAAATCACTTTTATTCAAGGGTTGTCCCTGAGAAGATGAAGGGGCAGTCATCCTCAAAGCTCCATTTTAGAGAACTCAGGACTTTTTTAGGGAGGGAAGAGAGGAATGGAATCAGAGGGCAGGAAGACTAATGCTGAATTGTACATTCAAGCTTCATAACCTGCTCTGTAATTTAGACTGGGTTTTTCCTCTTTTTTCTGCTGCAATATCCTCACTATAATAATCAACCCTAGTCTCCTGGACTAGTAGTCTCTGCTGTGTGTGTGTGTGGGGGGGTATATGTCTATTTTTTTGAATGAACATTTTTTCCCTGAAAGGTAGACATTATCCCACTTTTAACTGAAAGAATAGAATTAGCAAGTTCTTGGCCCCACATTTTGATGTTATCTGAAGACTATCAGATGTTCTGGGTTCTGTAAATCTAGAGAAAAGTTACTGACTAGTAAGTTTTCTCACTCATATCTTTTTAGTTCCTTTTCTCAGGAGAAGCTAACCTTGCAGTTAATCATTAAGAAACAAAAGGCATCTTTCCCCTGAGAACATGGCAAGGTGGCTAAAGGCAGTTTTAACCCATTAGCTTCAGTCAGAAGTATCATCTACAGCCAAGGTAATGGGAGATTAATAATATGTTGCTCTACTGTGTGACCTCCCAAATTAGTAATTTTAAAATTTAAGAGCAAAAGAAACTTGAGGGTTTACATAGGTTTTCCCTCAGTTGCACTCTCTTTCTGTTAGGTCATTGGTATTGAGGTCCTTGGTAATGGTACCAGCCTTTTATATGACCCTTCTGTACTAGTTTTTAAGGTCTTCCAAAATGTTTACTAATATTTCTGAAATACTGCTTCATTTTCTTCTGTGTCACTCATGTTCCTCATTTGTGTACCACTCAACCAAGTATTTGTGATTTTTTAAAGATTATAGTTTGCATCTTGTAGTTTTTGATTCATGTTTCTTTATACCTACCAGTTACTGTTCTACACAATATTAATGTTAATAGAATTTTTATATCAGTTTTTCAACTTCATATTTCTTCCCGTTTAGTCATCCATAATGATCTTCCCTTATCATGCTGTTTGATTAAATATTACCAAGTCCAATTTAGTTGCTTTTTCTGTTTTCCTAATATTTTCAGTTTTTGTAGAAATAAAATCCAAATAACAAAAGAACTTTTAAAATATACAATTCTTCAGCATTCAGTATATTCATAATTTGTACAATCTGAAAATGAAGCCTGTGCCCATTAAACAGGAACTTTTCATTTCCTGCACCCTTTAGCCCTTGGCAACCAATAATCTTTCTGTTTTTATTGATTTACTTATTTTATATATTTTATATGAATAGAATCATATAACATGTGACCTTTGTTTCTAGCCTCTAATGTAGTATGGTGTTTTTCGGGAGCATCCACATTGTAGTATCACTGCTTTGTGCCTTTTCATGACTGAATATTCCATTATATGGGTGTGTGTGTGTGTGTGTGTGTGTGTACACATTATAAACATACTACCTTTTGGTAATGCATTACTCTGTTAGTGGACATTTGAGTTGTTTCCACTTTGGCTATTGTGATGAGTGTTGCTATGAACATTTTCATACAATTACTTGAATATATGTTTTCAAATCTTTGGAACATATACCTAGATATGAAATTGTGGTTCATATATTAGTAATTTCTTTAACTATTAGAAGAACCACCCAGTTGTTTTCCAGAGCCAGTTGTTTTCTAATAGCAGTGTAAGAGTTGTTTTTCCACATTTTTTCAACACTTGTAACACTAATGCCTCAGTTCATGAATGCTCCTGTTTGCAAACAAAAACATTCAGCAAAATTTGCTTCTATTCACAAACTCTGCATCAGGTGACAAACACGACCATGGACATCTTTGTCACACAACCAAATGCAGCCATTCCCCACAATCATAAAACAAATTAAGTTCATAAACTGACAGACCACTATATTTTCTAGATTTTTTTCTTGTTAACATATCATATTGTGGTGATGTAATATGTCATTGTGGTTTTGATTTGCATTTCTCTAATGAGTAATAATGTGAATCATCTTTTCATGTGCTTCTTTTACAAATACTTGGTTAGAAAAATTTCAGTTTGTCTTTGAAGTCTGGCTCATTTTAATTTGTTTTAATTTTTTGTTTTTTATTTTAGTTTTTTACTCTTTTGTGGTTTACTCTTAAGAGCTCTTTATATATTCTGGATGTTAAACTTACCAGACATATGATTTGCATGTGTTTTCTGTCTGTTCTGTCAGTTGTCTTTTTAGTTTCTCTTTTTTATTTTTTATTTTTTTCCTTTGCGGTTCAGGGATTAAATCCCAAAGGCCTCTACATGTTAGGCAGGTATTCCACCATGGAGTTATCACTTCATCTTCTTTTTATGCTTTTTTACTGCATTTTATGCAGTATAGTTGCTTAGCTATCAGTAACATTATACTGATGATAAATTACCCATGACTCACTTAGCTCCTTTGGACATTATTCGAAACAGTCAATTTGTCTATTAAGTACGTTGCCCAAGTTTCCTTTTTACTCTTTTGCCTGCATGAATGGGCTTTACTTTCTTGTTTCTTTTTTGTTTTGTTAAGAACTGGATGTTTTAAATTTTTTTATTTTATTAGTACATGTTTGTAGCACATGGTGTTTACATTCATCTGGGGGAGTGGGTACATGTACATAGTACAGCTTGTTTCTTTTTTTAATTCCCTTCCCCTTCTCACCGACCTCCTTTTGTCTACCTCTAAGTCCCCTTTCCCTATTTTCATTCTTGTTGTTATCATTACTCTTAGTTCATGTGTATGACATAGAATGTTTACATCATTGAGGTTATTAAGTTCCATCAATAGCAGATCTTAATTCTACTTAATTCCTTCTTCACTCTTCCTCTTCCCTCCCCCTTGGTCTCCTCAACCCCTTCTGGTTTGTAAGAGATCTATCCCCTTCTTTCTTCCTATCCATCATTCATTAGTCTCGTTGTTTGTACTTTGCCTAACTCTAATGAGAGACACTGTACAGTATTTAAGTTGTGTGTCTGATTTATTTCTCTCAACATTTATATTTCCCAGATGCATCCATTTTCCAGCAAATGTGGGTTGAATTTATCCTTCTTTATAGCCAAGTAGTATTCCACTATGTATAGATACCACATTTCTTTATCCATTTCTCTGTTGATGGGTATATCAGCTACTTCCAGGATGTAACTATTATGAGTAACTCTGCTGTTAACATTGGTATACATATATCACTGTAGTATTATGTCTACCTCTTTTTTTTTTTTTTGGTTGGTACTGGGGATCAAACTCAGGATGAAGATGGAGAAACAACCCCAGACACACTCAGCCACCTCATCTTTGACAAAGGAGCCAACCACCCTCACTGGAGGAAAGATAGCCTCTTTAATAAATG